TACTTTAAAGAAGTTAGATGGTAATACTTAGGCTCTGTTTGACTTTGCGTTGGTAACTTCTCAGCTATAAGACTGGGAGCAGTTCTGGATGACACCTCAGTCTATATGTGGATCCACTGGACAGAGTCCAAAAGAGGGAATGTAAGAGGAAAGAGTTAGGGTTCTTTAGTCCATAATTCAAAAGAGAGATTGCCAACAAATGTGAATTCATAAAAAAGCTTCTGGAAAAAGCATCTTTTCAAAGGAATGCAAAGGAATGGTCTATTCTTTCCAGTGATGGAGGATAGGACAAAATGGAACACACTTAAATTGTCATAGAATTAGTTTAGTCAACTCCTGAAGATTTCTAATATTAAGTGTAGCCAAACTCAGTAACAGTTTATTTATGAGACTGAATCTCTATCACTACAAATCTTGAAGATGAACAGTAAGACAGAAACAAATAGGTAGAGAAGAGTCTCTCTTAGAAATGTACTAAATGACCTCTGGAATTCATTCCCAGGCCTATGTTCTTTCATTCGTTAGAGTATTGGGTTAACCAGACGATCACTTAGCAGGTGGTACTTGAAATTCTGAAGGTTAAAGGATATAAGACGAAAAAGCATTAGCTTTTTATATCAACTGGATAACACAGTCCTTTTTATAAGGACATTTTTATGAAGTAAAAATAACATGAAACTTGGAGACTGGTGACCATGTTCTGATCTCCTAAATATATCAACAGAATAATTTTTAACTTAGTTACTTCTTTGTGTTGTCCTAGCACTTTATTACTATTGTCCATACTTAACCCTGATAAACATAGCAATATAGTCATGATTTTGTTAAAAGTGCTGAGTAGTCATATGTCTAATGAAGTATTTCTAATATTTCTAGCATAAATCAAATAATATTCCAATCACTTCTTATCTGCATAGTGATTATATATTTCTATCAAAATGTTAGGCAATATAAATGATACTTCATTAATGGTGTTTTATAAGCAACTTCTTTATGAAAGCAACAATATGTATAAAACCTAAAATCTGATGCTTCCCTATGTAAGTAGATGTATATCCAGGGGTTCAGGTTGGATACTTTTAAGTGTGCTGAGGTTGCTACTTTCAAAGTTTTTATTCAAACAAAATATAAGAGAAACTGTGGCTTTTTCTAATTGGACAACATATGGGTAGATTTCTATACTCAGCTAAGAACTTCCCTCCAAGTGATGACACAAGAATCCTCCACAGCATTCTTGCCAGAGATTCATAAAATTCACCACTTGGAGAAAAAAGCAGTGAAACAACAGGCAATGAGTGCACCACCGCTTGGGATTGTCATTGAACAGTCTCTAACTTAATAGATGACAAATCCATTGAGGATTAGTAAATACATGAGAACTGTCTCTGACTCGGGAAGCCCTTGAGATGCAAGAGGTACTGGGAAAATACTCAGGGGAAGTATCATTTATTTGCACTGTTCTTATGCCCGTACTGAGGCATCTGCTGCTGACTGCTGTCAGAGACAGGACACTGCAGCTGGATGGACCGCTGCTTCCAGTAAAATAAAAAAAAAAAGTTATTTCAATAATTTTATGTTGTTTCAATACTGGCAAGACATCTAGAAAGTCTCCCCATCACTTTGACAAACTATTTCAGGGATCAGAAGTTTAGCAACATTCTCACTTATCACCTGAAGCAAAGTAAATGCCTATTGGAACATCTCAGACTGCAGCCAATGCAAGACAAAGCAAATCACCTTAAGACTCTTTAACTATGGGCCAAGTTACCATAAGTCACTTTCCAGTGACTGAAAACAATTGCACAAACAATTCCTGGGGCTCAGCTGATGGGTGGTATCCTGGCGGGATGCTCTAACTTGGCCTTGTGTTCACGACTCTGATCCAGAGACATTAAGCTCTCTTCTATTGGAAATCTAGCTGAAGTGCCTTGGACAACTGCTCAGTGCTTCACTCTGGTGACCGTTCGTAACATTTTAAGTGCTGTTTCTTGCAAAAAGCTGTGTAAATACCTCACTGGGATACTCTTCAGAATAATGCTTGAAATGATATGGGGATATAACCTTCTGTTCAGTTTACTGGCCTGAGATACTGTACCAGTTCTTAACAGGTAATATATAAATACATAGGATACAAAAAATTTTTACTACTATTAAGTTTAAATGAAGAAATTATTTGATTAAATGTGCTTTGTCTCCCTTTAAAGTAAACAAATCATGCTTATTTAAAATTTTTCAAGGCACAAAAAAGGAGCTAAAACATTTAACTACCATGTAAAGTTCACAGGGGCTAAGAACCCAGCTCATGCATGTACTTTTGAAGCCATTCCCTAAAATCAATGTTAGGATAGAGTCAAGTAGCATAGCATGGCTCTTGCAAGGACAAGAAACACATGCACACAAAACTCTGTTGATGCTACAGTATTAGTCTCCTAGTATTTAATTTCTTATTCTGTGGAAGAGGGAGGAAAGAAAGGAGGAGAGAGAATAAAAGTTTTTATATAGACCAAATAAAACTGACAACTAGTAAGATCACAGAGACAAATGTGTATTTTCCTTACATTTTTATTTTCAGCCTTGACTATAACCATATCACAGTTGAGCTTCAGCTTATCTCAGCCTTTATTCCTGACATAAATATATTCAGTTCACCTCATAGAGATAACAGGATCACCCAGAGTGTCAAGATAGCTAGAAACCTGCCTGTAGATTTCATATCATTCATCATTAAAGAGCTCTCTGTGATGTTGCCAAAACTAACAGAAAGTCTGATATCTTTTGGGAAAAAAAGGGTTTCCAAAACCTGTTATCATTGCTACTTTTCTTAATTAGTCTTCGTGGCACAAAAATTAAATCTACTCACTAAAAAAAATGTTTTGGTACTTAATTCAATTTCTGATATTTCTCAAGGAATGAGAAAGTCACTTCAAGGAGCAAAGCATAGCAGAGTGTTCAAGGAGAACTCTAGCATGATTAAAGTCTTTCTCTTCTTGAAGAACTACAAATTATTCAGTGCTGTACAGCCCATCTCCAAAAAAGCTAGTATTCAGAGTCTAGTTCAAAAGACTAGACTCATCTATCTCCAAAGGCTAGCTGCATCTCCTTTTACTCTGCAGTGATTTGTTCTATTTGTGGTTTCCTCAGCCTTTGGTAATTCTCCCCCTTCCTCCTTATTCCTTTCATTTGCTACCAGTATATTCCAATATGTGGTTTTGCTGTTGATTTACAAGACTGCTGTAGCAAAATATACGTGAACCTTGTGGAATGGTTGTTCAACAGCAGGCTGACCTTAACAGGGCATTGACCCGCCATAGAAGTCAGGGCAGGAAAATAAACAAAACCCTCAGCTCCCAGAATTAGCTGTCTGGGAGCAGAGGTATTTCCAGGCAGCTCAGAGACAAGAATGAGTCTGCATCTCAGTGCAGACACAACTCACATTTAGGAGCTTCTCACTAGGCTCTGGCCTGCCCTGGAAGTAAGACACTTTAATTCAGCGTGGTCTCTAAAGGGAAAGGTCAACAGTTTTAATTAAAATAAACTGCTGACTTCTTATCTATTATCTGTCTCCAGAACTACTGGTTAGCTTCTTTTTTTACAGAAACGGAAAGGTAGTGTCTGATCACCTGCCTACTGAAAGAAGTTTCCCATGCTGACTTTTAATAAGATATCACTTGAGAAAGTTAGGAAAATTTGAAAAATCGTCTCCTTAAAGACTTTCCCAGATGGGTCATTTCCCATTGGCAAAGAGAATGAGGAGCTAGGTTGTGCATTTGATATAAATTCCAAGTGATGGAAACCCATCTTCTGTTAGCAGATGATAGCTTTAGAGGCTCATATATGTCTGAATGTGGCCTCAGCTGGATTCAGTCAGAGTGCCAGTAACCACAAATAATTTCAGTTTAACAGTGTGATCCAAAATACTGAATAATATATACACGATAGGATATATCAGGAAAGTTAGAAATCACTGAGGGAGAGTCTCTGAAGATCAGATATGAAGATAAGGGACTTTCTTGGTCATAGAGTTAATGAACCAAAGAATCCCAATTTAACCTTCCTGCTTTAATGTGGTGTCCTAGAGACAAAAATGAGCTTGACCATATAGGGACTAGGAATAAGCATCATTTGCCAGAGAAATTTTTCACACTTGTGCAGAGCTTTAGGTGTCTTTATGGGGAGATATTCTCAGACATTCCTCCTTTTCATTGAGGGGAACAAATATCAGTCATATACACTACACTTGCTGGAAGTCAGATTGACTTGGTTGTTTAAACTGTCCCAGTATAACTTCTCTGTGCTCTCCCCCACCTCAGCTCTTCTTTCTTTCCTTATGCAGCTCAACTCAGCTCACTAAGGATACTGTTTTAAATCTTTCAGCTAAGTGCCACAATTTGAACAGGGGGTTGCAAGTCTAGTCTTTCACAGGTGAGTGAATTAGTCAGTACATTAATTATGTCTATATATGTATATGTGTATTACTCTTGTAAAAGACAGAAAGCTAAATCATTATAATTATTTCAATAACAGAATCACACCCCTAAGTGAAAGAGATAATACACTGCAAGTCCAGATTCTGATTGTTTCTAAACTTTACCTTCTATTATCTATTTTCCTCCATTTTCTCTCTTCTTTATCTGGCTGATTCTCCCACTTCTTATCAAGTTCTTTTCTCCTTCTTCATCTCTTAGCTTGTCTCTTACTTTGCCTTTCTTGCCTCAACAATAACACTAACTTATGGTTCCCCCCTCAACATTTCTGCAACAGCTTCAGTGCAGAAGTATACTGACTGCATCTCTGAATAATCCCTTCCCCACTGATACAAGTCACCACAATATAGAAACAGAAAAAAGTAGGAGTAATAACAACAACAACAACAATGATAACAATAGGAATTTTCACACAGTACTTACGCATCCATAATGCAACTTCATCCACGGTTGCTTTAGGCAAATAGATTAGATTCCTATCAATATACTACATATTTTCAGAGTTGTTGTACTCACCTCCAGTCAACATGAGAGCACATTTACACATGCAGTTGTCATTGTCAGCATCTTTTGTACTGAATTCAGCACCATGCAAGATCAGGCTACTCTGTTTTCCAGCTGTCCCACTGTGACCTTTTAAATAAAGCCTGAAACAGCAAGAGGACACAGTGTCACCAAAAAGAAAAAGAAAAGATCCATATCTCTTTCCACATCAGGTTTATCTTGTATGAAGTGCACTCAGAAAATTCAGAAACACCTTGTGTTTTGGCTCAATCTCTCTGTTGTTTCAGGTGTAAAATGGCAACATTCAGGGTTTTTTAATGTATCTGTAGTAACACATTGTCCCTGCCCCAGAGCAGAACTGAGCACAAGGACTCTGCACCAGAAAATGCACCAAAGTGGAGTGAGTCAGAGACAGAAAAGAGAATGAGGAGAGGTGCCCAGAGATCTGGAATACATTGACAGATTAATTGAGCATTTGAGTAGCTGGTCTCTTTACTGTGGCACAGAAACAGCACTCCCAGTTAACAGAAGACATACTATTAATCCCTGGGCTTGAAAGAGGGTTTCAGCAGTTTCAGAATTTTTAATTCCACCAGTTACAGCACAAGCCAGCAACCCAGTTCTGCCAAAGCTGTCTCTGAGTGATGAATGGAGAATAACTTAGAGTTCAAGCCACAAAAGTCTTCATGATTTTCAATGCTAAATATCCCTTTTCTTAAGGAGCCTTGTCAACTAGTTGAAACCACAACCATGAGCTAGGAGCCTGAGCTCAGCTCCAGCAAGTAACAGAGCATTTGTGGTGTTCCATGCTGTAATGCGCAAAGCCAAGTGTGCCAGCTGCAGGGATGAAGAATGGAGTACTGCTGTCCCAGTGAGGAAACACTGGGGACCTGGGCATGTCTGACCTGAGCTCACAATTGCAGGGACATGCAGGGACATGCACAAGAAAATGCTGAAGAGGAGAGGAGAGGAGAGGAGAGGAGAGGAGAGGAGAGGAGAGGAGAGGAGAGAGAAGTCTGTACACAGTGGTTACCCTTGCCTCTGCTTAAACATCTCTGTGAGACAGACATCACTGGGAGACAGATACCTACAGTAAAAACCACTTTCTGTATAGCTACCTAGAACAGATATCTGACCATTATGTTCTTGTTTTTTCATAAAACATTGCTGGAAGTGGAAGATATCCTCTGCCATAATAGCTTCATATTCAGGAAGAAGGAGACAGGGTCTTAGTATCTGCTGGAGAAATATGAAGCCATAATCCTTACATCCCAGGACCAAGCCCTAGCCACTGGAGCAAGAGGGAGGGGAAGGAGCACCCTTCGCCTATCTCACTGAAACTCTACAGGCATGCATATGTGAGCCACAGGGCTAACCAAGAATATGACTTGGTATCTAGTAGGTGAGAAATATCAATTCTGTTTCTTCTAGGATTATTTAAGAGGGGCAAGTATATCTTTTAAATATCAAATGTAAAATGCGTAAGGACCCATGGGAGCAGAAGCAGGACTGAAGTGTGTAAAGCAGGGTAGATGCCTCTTTCTCTCTGGGATTTACAGCTGGGAGTGCTTTCCTAGAAAATGACTTCCCAACTTCTCCCACAAACAAGGAGAGCAGTTATGAGTCACTGATTATTGTTGCTGCCTCTTAGATTGTTGTATTTTTATCTAATGACTTTGGATGAATAAAAAAGTAAATGCTTTTACCAGAGTGTTATTCCTCCATTTGTGTAGGTAGAAGACAAATACTTCACTGCGAAGTGATCACAGTGTTAACAGCAGGAGTAGAGAGCATCCCTAACCCATTCTAACCTACACAGTAGTAGTTAAGCTATTGACATTTTCTGAGATGCAAAGGAAAGTCTTTCCCCTAGTCTGAGATTTAAATAAAACCCAGTTCTCCCACAGAACTTTGGGGTTAGAGCTTATAAGAGTGAGGAGAAGGGGAGCATAGGCACCATATGGCAGCTTTCCTTAATCAATTGTATGGCTGTTGTTTTTTATTATTTTTTTGTATGCTTGCATCTGCAGGTGGATATTAGATTTAAACAAAGCAAATCTGATTAAACTTATCATGGAAACTCATTGCACAAAAGCCTCTTCTGGATATCCCAGTGAGGTTGCTAAGCCCTCTCAAGACGTGAAGGCACAGAACCAGCACTTGGGGCCCTAAAGAGTCTGAGATTCACACTTTGAGACTGACCTACACTTCACCTCATTTTCAGCAAAATTATTGCTATATGTCCTTTCTCCATCTTTAAAAATGGAGACAATAGATGCTAAGCATGAAAATGTTAAAATAAAAATTTATTAAGAAAAGAGAACTGTCAGGGGTATCCTTCCACAATAGTTACACTGCCTGCCTTCATTTGATTTTAATGTTGCATGTCACCTGACTTGAGCCTGATGACTAAATACCTTTGGACTTAATTATTAGAGTAAATTTTATATATAGATAATTACACACACATACAGATATAAAAATGATTGGATTAAATATAAACACCTTGCATAGTCAAATAACTTTGGATAGCACAAAAATGGATAAGTCAAAGTGTAAGCCTCATGAAGATTCTTAGAAATTTAACAAGGAACAACTTAGGAACAGGAATCCAGGAAGGTCATTGCGTTATGCTATTGTCCAATCACAGTGGCATAGCCCAAAATTACCATGTTACTCTATCAAAGGATGCTTGTTTTAGACAAGATTACTCTGGTTTTGCTAGCATTCATTTCTTTGTTCCATAAAAACAAAAGGCTGGAATTGATCCTATCGTCATTCATTGGACTTCTGCCTTGTTTTGCAAGCTGTGTCTAATTTTTTGCAGAACAAAATAAACTTCCCTGAAGTTGTGTTGACAGAAAAATTACTTTGTCACATGATATCTACAATCTGATTTTCAATGGCCATACATCCTCACTATATCAGCAACACCAAAGCTCACAGAAGTCTCATAAAGTCAGTATAAAAAGCAAATGCTGTTTACTTAAATCAGAAAGACAATGCTAGCCAGATCTTTTTATTAACAATCAACACTATAAAACCCACTTAGTCCAATAAAAAAAATTCATATAATGTAAGAAAACAATAAAGAAATGAAAAATACTTGGTGCGCGATGTTTTCCCCAAAGGGGTAGGGCATTAGGATTATTTGCAAGCTCATACTCTTGCCCTGATATTTTATAAACATTCCACTCGGAACAGATTTAGATCTTGCTAGTTATGTTTGACTTTCCCTCAACACCATTTCTCTAGTACGTCTCCAGTGACTTTAAAAAGATAAGCTTAGCTTAGGTTAGCTCTAAACTCTAGTAGGCTTACCATATTGCAGCAGTGTACAGATGAACCATAGGGTGAAATAGTAATTCTCTTGCTTTGGGCCTTTCTCCCTGACTTGGCCCAACAGATAGGAAAAAATGATAGTGCAAAGTTGGCACTATTTTAGGCAAAAATCAGGTATCAATCAAAAAACAAAATTGGTCCTGAAGCAGTCAGTTCTTCTCTTTCTGAACTTCAGTTTAAGCCACATGGGGCCAAACTAGCCTGGCTTGAGACAGCATTTCTGCATAGCACTAGGTCATCTGATGAGCCTGCTAGCTGCCAGGCAGCAGTAGATATCTTACCACTTAGACTTAGTTAATTTTTTAGTATTCTCAGATTCAGATTGGTAGGACTGAACCTTTAAAATAAACTCTAAGTAACTACAGGACGTAATTTCCTTCCCTTATAAAAGATGGTGATTCAGCGTAGAGTTCCTCTTGGTTGTTCTTGAAAGAGACAAAGGAAATGAAGTTAAAACTCATTCCAGTCAAAATTCAAGGAGCAGTTTCAGGACTGCATCTCCAGTCTTCCCACTTGTTCACAGTAGTAAAATTCTGAAGATCAAGAAAAGCAGTGGAAACACTGCTCAGATTTACAAATTAGGCGGGAAAGGCAAATTCATGCTCAAATAAGCCAGAAGAACAAGCCTAATTTGTCTGTATATGGTAGACTTAGAATAGCAACAAATAAGCATTAGCAAGTAAATAATGAGTAAGTAGGAATAAGAGAAATACTGCATGTGTATGTTAAGTTTTGAGGACTTCTGGTAATATTTTTATGACATTCTAAAGTCACTATGAGGAATATTGCAGCTGATGATAGTATTCATTTAGAGACTAGCAGCTTTCCTAGCTGACATACTTAAGAAGAAACAGCACATTTAAAAAAAATAAATTGCAACTGTTACCTCTTATCTAGCACAAGTTAGAAATTCCCTCTGCATTTTTTTCCATGTAATATCATAGCAATGGCAGCTTGGGATACACACACACACAGATGGTGAGGAAAAACTCTCTTAAGCATGTTTTGCTTTTCACCATTCCTACCACGTGGCACATCTTGACTGTATGCAGTCCCTTGAAACCAAAGCAAGGTATATTGCATGGAAAGAATAGTTTTAAAAATATTACATAAACAACTGCAGAGCAGCCTCAAAAGTAATTTCAAATTTACACCAGATCACCTGGAATTGTTCTTTCAAACATATACAGCTTAGCTGTGTTCACACCGTGTTTGATGATTTTAACAGATGAGCCTGGGATAATTCCAAATAAGTTACAAAACCTTTTGTATATTTCTGCAACATACAGTTACGAAGACTGCAACATACAGAATGAGGTATTAAAAAATCTAAGAAATAAATGCAATCATAAATCCATGTGAAAAAGTTGTGTGCTAAATATGATTAAAAGTGTAGGAAATGGTTTCTGCTTCAGTGCTTGCATATAGAGCACCTAACCTTAGAATTTCTATTTATTTATTTTTACTAGAACTAGTGAGAGGTCTGTAGGACTCCCAGAATTTAATGTCAGCTACTTCCTTCTCTAAATTTGTTTTCTGTTAGAGTCATTAGAAGTCACTCAGTCCTACATTTAAAGCAGTCCCTCAATGAAATAGCTAAGTCATATCCAGCTTTGTTGTTGAGTAATACATACTTTGTAAACAAACAAAAAATATACTGGCTTACTGCAAACATTAGCAACCATAACTAAGAGGTGTAGAGTAACATCTCAACTACCTCAGCATGCATGGTCTTAAGTATTTTAATAAATTAAGATAAGACCAAATTTCATCATTGCCACAGTATTAAAAATTTTAGCGC